AATTAAAAACCTTCTCCTTCTTCCCCTGTTTCTTGAACTCAGCGTCCATGCCGGTCAAGTAAGCATTCAGGGTGCACAGGCAAGAGATCACCTATCTTTTTTTATTCAGTTAAGATTCTAATGCCGAGAAGGTCATGTATTTATTACACTGTCCAATTAATTGCTCTGACAAGCGATAAACGAACAACTTTTAGCGGCGTTAAATAGAGAACTTAACATTTTAAGGCAAGATGAAACAGAACGAGTGAGGCAACGTACTTCACTTCAGTGAATATGTTGTTGATTTGTTGGGAGTAGCTCCAAGGACACGCTTTCCAATCACTTCGCTCCAGTGCTATACAGGGATGTGAAGTCTGTTCGAAGAGTTACAGCTAGTGACCAGAGGAAAAATCATGATTCATAATTTCTGCCAGCAATTTACCGATTTTGCATTGCGCACCGGAGGGAATTTATTAACTACGTTTTAGTTGTCTGTATGCCCACGCTCAACTAGCCAGCTAGCAGCTAGCCACGAATAGGTTCATATTGCTGGTGATTTTAACGCACCTGCAATAGAGTTGGAAAATCCACCAGTGGAGGGGGGCGCGAACTTCATTCAGTCCTACTTTAATGGAACCCACCCTTGGCTTCCCTTTGGCACAGAACGTTAAGTCACTAACCAGATTTCGAGAGATCCAGAGAGCTAGTTACTTGGATATCATTTTTGCAAAGGATTTCGCCTACACTAGCGAAGTGTGTTAAATTGCCCCGCTCGGTAAGACTGATCATACGGTGCTAATGTGGAATAACTCACTTAATTCTCAACGTCTGAGGAAAACGGCGGACAGCCAAATATATGGAAGACAGACATTAATTCGACGAACAATGAATTGCTGTCCACGAATTGGGAATGTCTGCTCAAGGATGATCCGGATGACGGCTGCGCATCATTCAAGACGATAAAAGTAGATGTTATTAAGCGCTCTTGTCCGGTGGAGGTACACAAGGCGATAAGTATCGTTACCTGTTTGACGAGAGACCTTTAGAGGCAATAACAGAAGAAAAATAAGAAATTGATGTTATTGACAAAAAATAAGTCACCACTACACCTCGATGAATTCCGGCGCCAAAGAAATATGGTAAAAAATCGATTCGTCAAGCAAGGAAAAACTATGAATCAAGAATCCGCCAACAGGCTGAGGACAAGTCCAAAAACTATTCCGCTTTACTTAAAGTAGATTAAAAACAAGGATCCAGTCACAGGACTTAAGGATGATAATGGCGAGGAAGTCGTTGGGAATAGCGAGAAATCCGAGTTTTATAGCCGGTTCTTTGTCTGGGTAGTCACTAGGGAAACGGAGCTTCAGTTTGACACTGCCAACAATGTTGTTGTCAACGCTGGTCTACCATTTCACTCTCTATTACGCCCAAAATCTGAAGTTTAAAGAGAGCTGCAAAGCCTCAAAGAAGCAAATACATCCTGTCCAGACAATTTACCAGCCAAGTTCTTGAAAGAATTGGCAAACGAGCTCCCAAAGCCCCGAGCACATATCTTTCGTACTTCATTCGAATTAGGAACACTCTCATCTTACTGGAAAGCAGCGAATATTTACCACACATACGAGGGCGCGGCACGAACGAAGGTCAACAACTATCGGCCCGTCCGTCTAAAATGTATTAGTTGTAAGGTGATGGAAGCGATGATTAAGAAGGCGATAATGAGGTTCCTAGATGAGAACAACTTACCATCACGGCTCCAACATGGCTTCAGGCAGAACTACTCTTGTCTTTCCGAATTATTGCTTTTGAATAAACAGTGGACTCACGCACTGAAGAAAGATAGTAAATGCGTTCTAATAGG